AATGTTTACATTCTTTCAGTGCAAGCGACCCAGCTGTCAGTTAGCCATCGGCTGACAAAGGATGGCTAATAGTTAATGCTGCTTTTTTGCTGCTTCTTCACTTGAACAGAGAATGTCACCGCAGACTGGGATATAATAAACGGAAGAGCATCTCCGAAACAGCTCCGACACATTCGCAGATCACTCTCTAAGATGGTCATAACACAAGCCCCCAAGCTGTTGTCGTTGTATCACCAGAACATCATTCCACCATGAGGTTGAGCTCTGCTGCGTACCTCGCTCAATCTCTGAGAACTGACTACTCGTTTCTGAACGCGACTTCGCGGGTCATTTTGCCCACCTCAAGGCGCGGACACGTAGAGCTTTACTTTCTTCTCGCCTTTGATTGCTCATATTCGACTTTATTAAGTGCATAGGTAAATCCACGTCAGCTTCCGATTCTCCCGCAACAAATCAATTGTTTCGCGCCTTGGGGTCATTTGGTCAGCCACCGCTGGATGTCCGGTTTGCGCTCCTCCGTCACGTGTTGGAGCAGCTCCTCGAGCGTCTCGGTCCAAACGTTGCGCTGAATAATTTGGCCGAAATCGGATGCAATGAACTCGTCCACTCTATTAGACACATCAGCTCGATATGTGGTATCACGAGGCAGAGAAAATTGACGCACGGCTCTATGGTCGCATCGCCGAGGAACTCGCCATGCGTTCCGATGCCTGCGTGTACCGCCGCATGCATGACAATCCTGGCACCTTCTCCAGCAGTGCGACCGATGATTTTTTTTATCATGGTGACCAGAATGCGGACGAGGAACGGCGTCTCATTGTTCTCGATGTTGGTGATGACCATGCCTGGACAAAGCATGTTGATTTGGACCTTGGTTGGATCAACTCGCTTGGCGAACTCGTACATGAACATTGCGGCGACAAGTTTTGACTCTGAATACCGAGGGAATGCTTTGTAGTTCTCGGTCGGGTCGAGCCAGGCGAGTGGCCGAGTGGATTTAACCTTCCGAAGCGGTGTATGCGAGTGCAGCATGCGAGAGCCGACCCAGGTGATGCGTGATGGTGTCTCACCTGCCTCAAGGAGTGGGAGGAGCTCAAAGATGAGTAGAGCGTTTGAGTGATAGTTGACCTGCATGATGAGCTCGTGGCCGGTGACAGGAACGGTAGAGTATGCTGACTGCATGCCGAGTCCTGCATTGAGGACGAGGATATCGAGCGCGTTGATGGAGGCGGAAACCTGCTTCACAAACGCGATCACACTAGTCACGTCAGCGACGTCGAGCTGCATAACCCGAATATCGGTGACGGCAGTTGCCGATGTGGTGGCGAGCAGGTCGTGCTTGGCCAGCTCCCCCTTGCCGAGATTTCGAACAGCGAGCACCACTGTGGAAATGCCAATTTCAAGTAACTGGCGTGCGGTCTCAAAGCCAATTCCTGAGTTGGCGCCGGTGACGATGGCGGTCTTACCTTCGAGGCGAACGCCGGCTGGGTTGGCGGCGACGTGTGGTTGGAAGAATGGCATGGCTTGGGGGGACGGAGAATAATAATAATAAAGCTGGAACGGCTTTATATACCTCATCTAAAACCGCTACCCCCTCTTTTGGTTGTGCTGAATAATGAGCTAGAGGCGGTTTGCTTATATAAGGCAACCGTGACTATCGGGGTCGGGCCCCGCTTCTTAGTTCGAGACGCACAGTGTACCACAAAAGACGGAACCAAGCCATGGTCTCTAGAGCCGATGCGTTAATGGAGGATGATTTGCCTATTAAGCTCACCGTGATGGTTGGTTTGCGCTACATTATACTCGCTGAACGCGGAAGTCATGCTCAGCGAGGCTACGAATTGCATGTCTCCATACCTAGGTCAATTGTGTACAAACATCAGCAATGGTTTAATATCTTCCGTCTGGTCATTTGACAGGCGCGGCGAGTATACAGTACAAAGCTGCAGGTCCGAACCTCCATTTGCTGTAGCCTTGATAAGGTTTGTGCCTTGCTGTGCAAGTGGCGCGGTCGACTGACCGGAACGCCACGATAAGCAAATCTAACTTAATATCGGAGGTAACACGTTCGGAGACGTTTTCTTGAGTACCATTGGCCACGAACCTTCAATGACCCTGAAAGCTGTGCATCTACTGGTTCGCCTTCCAATTTCATTTCAGCGCTTAGATACCGCAGCACATCATCTATAGTCCAGATTGTACAGGAGTGATTGCATGAACTCAGGTACAGCCATACACTGGGATACATAATGGAGTGCGAGAGCAAGAGCGTGAAAGTTGGTCAGCGTCAGAGCGCTGTATGCAGGCGTGTGTTCAGGGTGAGGAAAGCATGTAGCAGAGCTGGAGACGAGCGCAAACATGAAACGAGTTTTAAAGGAATGTGTGGGTGTGCGACGGAGCGCTGAACCGTTTACATGAAAAGGGCGAAGGTCGCAGCGAGCACTGCGAACCCACTGACGGCGGCATGATGGAATGCACCGCCGTCCACTACGGGATCCGTGCTGCCTGGGCTGCTGCCGGTATTCGTGTTTGTGCTCGTGGTCTTGGTCGTCGTGGTCTCGTTGACCTTGTCAGGGCCGTAGAGACGGCGGGCGTTGCGCTGTGAGGTAGGTGGACGGATGCTCCGTTAGAATGCGCGGGCCACACTGTGAATAGGACACCTACCACGGCACCATCCAAAGGTTCCCATCCAGTTTCATTGAGGTTGATAACGCCGACGCCGCCTGTTCATCATGCAAGGTCAGACATGCCTAATGTTACCATAGGTACTATACATGCCTACGCCGCAGGTCGAAGCATCGTAGAACCTGAAAACATGTCAGTTAATAGTAATCAACGTTTGTGAGGCTCATACCAAACGGTTTCAAGACCGAAAACGGAGTCAACGTCGACGAGGAGTTCTGTGGGCGAGGTGCCTATCAAGTCGCGGATGAGTATGAGAGTTGCCAGGCTAGTAAATATTGTAGATGTCCGTAAACAGACTCGCTTCCTCACCGTTGTTTGTGGGCCGAGGGCCGCTGTTGAACCCATTCACAGTGTTGTTGTGCTCACTGATGGGCACACAGGGCTGGTCGAAACTCGAGCGTGTGACCGTGTGGTTGCCTTCGGTAACTGCAGAGCTTGTAAGCTGGATATTGCCAGTGTCCCAGCGTTCGCGAACATTTGAAGATGATCTTGTCACCAAGCTCAGCGACAATCTCCTGTGGGTCGAAGACCTGTGCGACCTTCGTTGCGCTGATGTCTCCAGTGCCGTTGTAGTAGAGGTTGGTTCCGACAATGACATTGATCGTCTTTGCGGAGGCCGAGCTGACAACGGCAAGCTAGAAACGGGCAGCGACGAGCGATAGGTATGAGCGACGCAATGATAGCTCTGAGCATTTAGGGACTTACAGCGAAAAAAAGAGTGGAAGTGCGCATTGTACGGGCACGAGACGGCTGAACACAGACGACGAGCGGCGACGGAGACCTGTGGAGGGTGTCTTGCGAAGACAAGACGGCGAAGGCAAAGGAGGAATGGCAACCCGATGTATTTGACCGCACGCGACAGCAAATTCATGCAGAAGCGGATCAATCCCTCGTTATCGGCGAAGCAAGTGACATCATCGCATGCGCACACGCAGGCATGTCGCTCACACGCCTGGGCGACCAACGGCATCTTTTAGAGGACCAGGGCGGTAGCTGACGCCGCGGCCTTGGCCACGTGACTTGCACCGACATAGGTAAACTGGCACTGCTGCATGTGCGGAGCTAACGGCCATTATCGCCAATAAAAGCTACAACCTGTGTAGCTCATCTCCGCTTCGTTGCTACGATAGCCGCACAAGAAGAATGTAAAGCCGGCTTCGCGTTCTCAGAAGGACAAGCCTATAGAAGACTTCATTTGAAGAATTTTACCGCGGGTGTCGCCGAAGCTCCAGTCAACACTCACTAATAGCCTTTGCTACACGAATTGGCATGTATTAGGCACTTGATTTGTTGGCAAGAACCTTCTCAACAACACGTTCAATGATTCCGACTAGCCCGCTACCTGCAGCCGTGCCGTCGCTGCCAAGGCTGGCCAACACGGCCTTTTCGACATACTTGCCGACCATGTCGACCTCGATGTTGACGTTGGCGCCGACCTGTTTTGCGGCGAGAACAATCTTGGCTTGTGTGTGGGCGATGAGCATGACGCCAAATGTCGCGTCAGCATCGTTCACATATGTCAGCGTCAGAGAGGCGCCGTCAATGGCGATAAAGCCTTTTGGAATTAGGTACGGCAAGAGCGAATTCTGGCCAGCTGTCGGGGCGGGAAGTTTGAACAGGAGACGCAAGGAATTCCCATCCTCAGTTCTCGAGATAATGGTTGCGGTTGTGTCGATATGACCCTGGCGCGCGAGTGAGCGATTGCATTAGCATCAGGACGAAATTACCTGCACAAAGTGACCGCCAAAGCGCACGTGGCCGTTGACTGCGCGCTCGAGATCAACGTTGTCGCCGACCTTGAGCTCGCCTGCTGGAATCATGAGACGCACATCGACGGATCACAATGACTAACCGAGGTTCGTCTTGCTGAGGGTCTCAGGCGCAAGACCAACCTTGAAACTCTCCCTGTTGAACTCTGTCACTGTAAGGCAGCAGCCGTTCACGGAGATGGAGTCGCCGATGTGGCAGTCGCCCAGAATAGGGGCACTGGACCCGATCGTCAAACTCCACCCTCCACCGCCGCTCTCACTCGTATCGAGCTGTTGGATGTCCTCAATCAGGCCCAAGTGCTCTACCTATAAGAACATGTCAAAAGAAAGAAGCTCCGCGCTGCCACTGTGCGCACGATGCCTGTAAACATAGCGAACTGAGGGAAAGTTGTATGCTGACCAAGGAACATGCCGTGCGCAGGTCTCCGTGCAACTGGGCAGAAAGAACATTTAGCACAGATCCTTGAAATACCACCAGATGCATCAGGGCTGTATCTGATGCTTGGTCTACGGAATGTTTGGCCAAAATGAAGCTAATCCAAAAGTTGACTGGAAGGAGGTTCGAACTCCTGCGGGCATACGCCCATGAGAACCCTGCGCCCGAAGGCAAGCTAACGCTTGAGTCACACGCCTTAGACCACTCGGCCATCCAGTCTACAAGTTCATCGATGAAAGATACATCTCAGTCTTAATCATGCCCATTTGTCGCGATACCACGTTTACGATTACCGCTCCACTTTGTATTCTACTTATCAGATGATCTGCTTCTGGTGCTTTTCCCCAAATCTAGTTCGCTTTCCAGGTTTGGCGTGGCTGGATCTGAGTAATCAAATTGAGTGCGCAAGCGCGAAGTGCTGTGGCGTGATTCTTAGCAGTTCCTGAGCACGACGATCTCTCACAATGCGGACACGATAAATTCCCGGCCAGCTACGATTGCCCCTTGCCCACACCTCCTCTCCATGGTTGCGATTACACTCCTCCACGAAGATGTCGCCATTCTTGGAGGCGGCGCAGAGCATCTGACGCCTGCAATCGGCACAAGATTTAGTTCAAATGTTCAGCTGAGCCACGTCGTAGACAACGACGAGCAGGCCGCTGCCCTCGCCCGTCTCATATCTGAGCGTGGTGTCCTATTCTTCCGCGGACAGGACATCACCCTTGCGCAGCAAAAGGAGCTTTGTATCAGATTGGGCAAGCACAGCGGCAGACCAAAAGAGAGCGGGCTGCATATCCACCCGATCTCGGAGGACGCACCAGAACTTGGCGGCAAAGATACCAGCGTAATATCCAGCAAAGGAGGGATCGCTATCGCCGGTTATGTAGCCGGTACCCGGGCTTCGGATGGCTGGCATTCAGATATAAGGTGCGCATTGTATTTCGCCATCGAGGCGTGTAGGAAGCCAATCGTTCTGCACCAGCTTCGAAAAAGTCCCTTCCGATTTTACCTTCTTGAAGATGCATACTTTGCCAGAGGGTGCGTGATGTCTCAATATCTACGCAATGCGCCCCTCACGTGAAGAATAGTTGGCGGTGACACGCTGTGGGCATCCGGATATGCCGCGTACGACAAGCTCAGCCCTCATTTGGCAAAATTCTTGGAAGGTCTTACTGCCGAGCACGATGGAAACTTCTTCCACGAAGTGAGTTCTCTCAGTTGACTACCTCACCGGACACCTGAACTCGCTCTGCAGACCGCTCGCAAGCAGGGCCTCAAGATCCAGCCGCTGCGCGGCCACCCTCTGAATGTCGGCGAGGATCTCCGCGCGTCTCAGTATGTTTTTATATCCCATTTTTTTACCCCAGTGCTCATTCAAGCTACCTTGAAGCCCTGTCATCCGCACCCACCCTTTGACTGGGCACCGCACGCTGTTCATCAACAAGTCATTCACGAAGCGCATCAATGAGCTTTCTGTTGCCGAATCCGACGCAATAATAGACCTGCTCACTCGTCACATCTCGGAGAACCACGACATCCAGGTGCGGTGGCGTTGGCAGGTGAGTTTGCCACATTTTCAATCCTTAGCTAGAGCTCATTCGCCTTTTGAACCAAAAGAAAGATGATGTGGCGATCTGGTGTAACCGCTCTACATTCCACACTGCAACGCATGATTACAATAATGCACCGCGCGAAGGCTTCCGTGTCGTAGGTGTGGGTGAGATACCATACTTCGATCCGGCAAGCAAAGGTCGCGCCGAAACCGAAGCTTTGCGCGCAGCCAAAGCAATTTAGTCTCACGTAGAAAGAGGTCCAATGGGTTGTATGGGTGAGTAAACTAGTGGGAAAATGTAGTAAGATATTGCAATGACAACGATAGGAGTTCGACGGTCACAACAGCGCTTGAATGACTGAACGCCAGCTGGACGAGTCCGAAACTTTAGCATCCTTGGAAGATAGAGCTTCCATCAGGCCCACCCAACCTATGCCGGCGTATCGTGGTGAATAGCGCTAAGTACGCTATCACCGATCCAGACTACCGCCATGAGCTCGATATTGCACGAGAAGATCTTGCTAATAGGCGCAGTTTTTTTGCAACAGCATGTCCCAGCCGCCGTTGTCAATCCACAACCAGTCTTCGCCGGCACCTGTCTCCAATCTAATGTTTCCGACCGTGTTCGTTCTTGACTTCGTTCCGGACCGATACATCGAAGCGCTGGGCAGTGGTGCGAAAAAAGACCATCATTATATTCACCGCGGGCTGGGCGATGAAGTTTATCCCGCTTCTTGCGCGAGTCATGCGCGAGCTCCTGGTCGACGGAAGTACCTCAGTTTATGACATCAGTCACTTTGAGATGGACCGCAAGGACAAGAACGGTGTTCCGGTTATCACCCACGACGGACCTGTGCCACCTTCTGACGACGGCAATGTATCTGCTTGTATCCGTTTGAAGCTCTCCCCGCAATTACGCTGGTCACTAATTCCTGTATTTATTGCTTACTGGCGTCATTAAATCACTAGGTTCTCATTCCAGGCCCGTGGCATACTGTGCTTGTTTGTCGTACAACCTCAAATCCTCGGAAGCGGTTATGTCCAGCTGAGCAGTAAAGAATGGGTAGCAGCATAGATGCCCGAAGTACTATGCAACCGACGTGAGGCTATTGTTACCGTACCTCGAAGATTACATACCGTCAGGTGGGCCATATTGACGCCTGCCGAGGGGACGCCAGTCGAACCATTCGGATCCTCTTCATAGTCCCCTGCGGCGTTGCAGATGTACGTGCATTCCGGGCTTGGTGGATCCCAAGCCCAATACTCTATTCCTGCATCGCTGGTCAGGCATCTGGAGGGAAAAGATTCAGAGATCTACCGTGGTGTACGTAGCCGAGTTCTGTTGGCACCATCGTTGGTACACTGTCAACAGGGTAAGACAAGTTGCTACCTCCCAAGCTACTAACCCATCGTTCGAATGAACAACTGAGAAAGTCGATCAGACCGAGAGGTCTCAAAATTAGAGGTGTATGCTACCTCTGAATATCTCTTGCTTTCCGATGAGGTCCGTGATGGTTTGGGTGAAGAGTGCGTTTCCTGCACGAGGCTGACCATATGTTAACAACTTCATTCGCCTGTAACATATTAAAAGCCTATGAAATATCGGGAACTAGTTCAGCCTACGTTTGCGGTGATAATTGCTTGAAGGTAACTGAGGCGATCGAAGCCATAGCACCACCCAGTGAGTGACCAACCGCCACCAGCGTGTAGCCCGGTTGGAGCCCTACCTGCTCCTGCACGTGCTTGACAACAACCGGAGAGACTGCCATCCAACTTGAAGCATATCAGATGACGAGAGCCATCCCGAGATCAACCTGCTGACCATGACTGAAAGCCGTGATGAACTTGGACCCCGGCTGCCCACAAGAAACAGCCTTGTCAACCATTCCCATAACCCAGGCTAAACGCCCCACGCACGTAGCTCCTTCGGCGCTATTATATCTTCCAAGCGAATCATAGAGTCCATGACCGAACCTCGGATTCCCTGTCTGCGAAGTGCGTCATCGAACTGCCCTAGGGGAGAAATCCGACAAAACTAACGTCCCACGGAAAACAACAACAATGTCCTTTCGCTCGTCGTCGACCGCAATATACCCTTGCGCATCGGTAGCTATGTCCACGAACTACCTCGTCGGTCAGCGTTCATGCCTCCCCAAACCACTGGGTCAAGAACGCACTGCAACAATGAGCCTCGCTCCGTTCACTTTGGAGTGCTTGACGACAGTGTAAGCCTGCGAGGCATGTTTGTAGTAGTGCACAAGCTCGTCATAGGTGTCTGTCGCAAGAACTCAGGGTCAGAAGCCCGGGAGGTGCTCAGTACCGCACCCTGGCTGATGGTCTGACGGTCAGGTGCACGACCGAGCCTCCCTTCGACTCGAAGCTCTTGTGAGTCGCGCGAACGTTCGTTTGGCAGTTCAGAAGAGTCTGTGTACTGGGTGGACATGAGTGAAGCGTAGCAGTTCGGCGGATTGCGAGACACGAGAGAGACACGAGAAGGCAAGAAGTCGACAGGCGGCCAGGGCAGTCGTTCACAGAGCGTTCGCCTCACGTGATGGTCACAGCATTTGAAAGAATGCAACTAATCGAATTCAGGCAATCTCATAAAGGCACTTGTGTACAATACAGAGCTGATCATACAAATTTACTCGGCGAGGGGTGCAGCACGGCGACGACGGCCGGAGATGAGGTAGACCGCAGCGCGCACCTCAAAAAGGGGATCGGCGGAGGGTTCAATTCCGTCGATGCGAGGAATCGGGTCGAAGATGATGTGCTTCTGCTCCTTTGCGTTTTCGGGAACGATCTTGTCAAGGGAAAGGGTGCCAAGAACCACACGTTCGCGATCCTCCGGCCAGTGAAGCGTGACATCGTCCGTCGCGTCGCCCTCGTTGGCAAGCTGCAGAGAAAGCTCAAACTTGACAGGCCCTTTGCTAACGCGCTCTTCGATTTCTTCAAACAAAAAGCTCTCGCCACGGGCATCGCGTTCCTCTGGCGTGAGGTGTGCGAGGCCGGCGACAGGCTGCCAGGTGTACCGACCGTATCGAGACACTCCGCTGGCGTTGGTGAACTTGAATGCGCTGAGAGCAAAGTAGGCCTCCGTTCCGAACGATGCAGGTGTAGGTTTCGGTGTTGTTACAAACTTAACCACCGAAGGACGCGCAGAGACAAAGTCGGAGACGGGAGGGCCGCCCGCTTGAGCAGAGATAACAGCCTCGAAGAACTCGAGGAACTCATCCGCCGTGCGCGTGGGAAAAGCGTTGGTCGAATGGGCGACGATGTCCGTGTGTTTGTGTGGTGCAAGCTCGAAGCGGACCGCGAAGCCACGGGGCTCGGCGTTGGGGTCCGTGTCCGGGATCTTGGGCAGGCCAGTGCTGCTGGAGAATCGAGCGGTCACAACGGTCGAAGGCGTATTGAAGTGAGGTACAGTTGACAGTTGCGCGGCAGCGGGAGTGGGTGCGAAGCTGCCGGACAGCAGGACACCACGGGCGTGGGCAGCGCGATGACCAGGATGTTCGCCGCCAAAGACCTTATCCAAAGTCTTTACGATCTTATCGCTGAGGGCAACGACGCGTTTGTCAGAGGGCAGCGGCATGAGGCTCAAATGTGGGTGTTGGATGTGTCTGGGGTGCTGCTCCTGTGTTAAGAGTTGCAAGGGCTTTATATGGGCTCG